TGATTTCCTGGCCCTCCCGCGGGCCCCCGAAGACTCGAGGCCTGCCGACGGCGCCCTGGGAGGCAGCACAGACAATCAAGAAAACCAAGAAAACCAAGTAAACACTAGGAAAAATCAAGAAAACGCGCCCGCCAAGCAAGATAACCAAGGAAAACCACTGCTTTTCTTGGTTTTCTTGATTGGCGGGCGCGTTTTCTTGATTTTTCCTTGTGTTTTCTTGGTTTTCTTGGTTTTCTTGATTTCCTGGCCCGCCCGCGGGCCCCCGAAGACTCGAGGCCTGCCGACGGCGCCCTGGGAGGCAGCACAGAAAATCAAGAAAACAAGAAAACCAAGAAAACACAATGAAAATCAAGAAAACGCGCCCGCCAATCAAGATAACCAAGGAACACCAATGCTTTTCTTGGTTTTCTTGATTGGCGGGCGCGTTTTCTTGATTTTTCCTTGTGTTTCCTTGGTTTTCTTGGTTTTCTTGATTTCCTGGCCCGCCCGCGGGCCCCCGAAGACCGCAGGCCTGCCGACGGCGCCCTGGGGGGCAGCCCAGAAAACCAAGAAAACAAAGACAACCAAGAAAACACAATGAACAATCAAGAAAACGGCACCGCAAATCAAGAAAACCAGGAAAACCATAGAATCCAATGCTGGCGAGGAAGGGCTGCGGGCACTCTTATGAGATGATCGTGGGTGCCCCTGGGGCTTCCTCGGAGGAGGAGGGGAACTTAGTCTTCGGACAGTACATACCCATTCGAGGTAGGAGCAAGAGGAGCAGGAAGGAGGAGGAGGAGGAGGAGGAGGAGAAAACTGAATCTGGCGCCTGACCGTATTGGGCTCGTGTCACAGGCGCTGTACCCCCCGTCGTGGTCAGAGGCTTCTTCCTCCGAGCTCGGGGGACTTGGTCTTCGGACTGTACATGGCCCGTGCGATGTGCTGGAAAGGGTTCCTGGCCCGTTCGATGTGCTGGAGAGGGAACCTGAAAAAAGCTCCCTGTCCAGTGGCGGGAGGGGAAACCTGAAAAGGTTTCCTGCCCCGTATGGTGTGCTGGAAAGGGAACCTGAAAAAGGCTCCCTGTCCCGCAGCGGGAGGGGAAAACTGAAAAGGTTTCCTGGCCCGTATGGTGTGCTGGAGAGGGAACCTGAAAAGGCCCCCTGTCCCGCAGCGGGAGGGGAAACCTGAAAAGGCTTCCTGGCCCGTATGGTGTGCTGGAGAGGGGACCTGAAAAAAGGCTCCCTGTCCCGCAGCGGGAGGGGAAACCTGAAAAGGGTTCCTGGCCCGTATGGTGTGCTGGAGAGGGAGCCTGAAAAGGCTCCCTGTCCAGCGGCGGGAGGGGAAACCTGAAGAGGCTTCCTGGCCCGTGCGATGTGTCGGAGAGGGAACCTGAAAAAGGCTCCCTGTCCGGGCGAGGGAGGGGAAACCTGAAAAAGGCTTCCTGGCCTGTGCGATGTGCTGGAGAGGGAACCTGAAAAAAAGGCTCCCTGCACAGTAGCGGGGGGAGGAGAGTGATGAGGAGGACGAGGAGGAGAGGGATGAGGATGACGAGGAGGAGGAGGAGGAGGAGGAGGAGGAGGAGGAGGAGGAGGAGGAGGAGGAGGAGGAGGAGGAGGAGGGGGATCGCAGCAATATCACAAGCATAACCAATAACTCCTTTCTGGGAGCGCCTTCCGATCAGAATTCTGTTGGGGATCACGTAGAAATGCCAGCGCATGGAAATCTGGGAAATCGATATCACTTCTTGTATTTATGGTTTCCGAATTAAAACCAGACCTCTGGACACCCATCAGCACGCGTCTAAGGCAATGGCAGCCGCGCCACATATCCCCCCGACGCATCAACATCGTGCACAAAACCAGCACCAGCGCCAGCAGACTGCCATTCTAGAAATCGATATTGTTTCCTGTATCTAGAGCTTGTTACTCAAAAGGCGGCCCTCGTCAGGATAACCATCTCGGACTATAGCACGCTCTCAGTCGCCACCCTGGCTCAAGTTTTCAAGGCACCCTCGGCTCGCAGGCGCAGCCCTCCGCGGCGCGGGGTGCAGGGGATGGCCGAGAGTCAGTACTCCAGAGAGCTTGGCGAAGGAATACTGGATGCTCCTACGCCCGATGACTCTGGAGTTCGCCCGCCTTCTCGGTCCGCCGCAGTGAAGCGGGTCATCGAAGCGTGGGAGCCTGACGAGTTCGCAGAGCTTGTCGATCAAATGCGCCCGATCGAGTTCGAGCCAGAGGTGCTGCCCGAGGAGGAGACCCTGCGCGAGGCGAACGACAAGGTGAAGGACGAGGTGGAGAACTTGATTTCTTCCTGGACGGTTCAACCGAGTCAAGTGATGAAGTCTGCCATGTACGTCGTGGCGATGTACGTGAAGGAGGATCACGTCTGGAGTGCTTCCAATGGCATATTGGCCACGCGCGTCATCGACCTGCTGTGCGGGGAGAGCTTCCGCGCCCACAAGGACGGCGTCTACTTGTACGGCAATGGAGACTGGGCGTTTGTCGAGGAGATCAAGTACCCGTACATCGGGAAGATCTTGGCGGTCCTCGGCTGCGCGGCGAAAGTCTTTGCATTCCTCGTCTCCAAGGAGACAAAGCGAGACGTGGCGGCTGTCTTTCAGGAGGTCGGACAGCACCATGGAGCGATCTCAGCCAACACCGCTGCGTGCCACGCTGACTTCGGTCGGCCCCGCCAGGAAGACCCGACCGCTTGGTCCAAGGAGGGCGGGCGCGTTACGCTCGACCTCACGCAGCGCTACTCCACCAAAGGCAAGGGCGCTGAGTTCATAGAGTCACATGGCCAGTTCTTCCAGATCCCGAAGCCGACGTCCGAGGGCGCCTTTGTCAACGCGCAGAACGTCACTTTGAAAATCTCCCGCGAGGGGTCCGCGGATGAAAGGTTCCGTTCTGTCAAGAAGAGCCCCTCGAACAACTGCTACCTGGGCGTGCCTGTGTCGCTTGACTACAAGCCATCTTGGCAGCACGAGGAGGAGATGCGCCTGTTCCTGTGCACTTCCTTCGCTGGGAACCCCGAGGGTCGCAGGATTGACATGGCAGCAGAAGCGTTAGTGTGGTACGACGTCCCCGCCCCGCAGATCGGCCTGATCATGACAGGCGACGGCGGCAACGCCGAATCTGCCAAGGCTGCCCTGCGGGCGAACGTGCTGGGGGAGCACCACCACTTCGTCTCGAGCGACGTGCTGCACGTCCCAGAGGAATTCCGAAAACAAGGGAAGCATTTCGCGCGTGCCCGAGCTGCAACGGTGCAGGAGAATCAGGGCGGCGTGCCGTGGATCGAGGACGTGGTGAAGCGCTGGCTCAGTGGTGAGTGCGTTGCCTGCCGAGCCCTCTTCGGGAAAAGTACTGACCTGTTCAGCTGGCCCCGCTGCGTGAAGTACTTCGAGTGGAACCGCGCCTACCCGTCCATTCGAGGCGATTGGCGCAACATGCATTCGCTGCGGTCCTTCTGGCGCCGCCTTGCCGTCATCGAGCTCGGCGCCGTGTTCACGAGCGACCCCATCCAAGGTGAACGTCGATGGCAAGGTTTTCCACGAGAAGGACTTGACCGCGTTCCTGGAAAGCCCAGAAGCCCGTCTCGTCAACATCCGTTCCTACCTCATCCCCTTCATGCAGAAGTACAACGCTGAGGAGTGCCGCCAGATCCTCAAGAACCCTTCCGCTGAAGTAGTGGAGGCGACTCAGCGCGTCGTGGCCCAAATGGCGAACGGCGGGTTGGAGCCCCCGAAGGAGTGGATGGGCGCTCGCGGTCGCCAGCGTGTTGCGCATGAGGCTAAGGCGCTGCTGATGGAGGTTCACGCGTGGCTAAGTGACGATTGCCTCAGCATCAACATGTACGACCTCGCGAAGAAGAAAGACAATCCGATCCCTGGCACCATCACGGGGGAGAGGAGCGGCAAGTCGCGGCAGCATCACTTCGAAAACGCAGTCAATGATTACCCCTACATCTTCCGCACCGACGGGAGCAACGTGCTCAAGCTGAACGTCGAGCTGAACTTTCTCGAGGCCCTCCTCGGCGCAGCTGGCCGCGACTCGCTCGCGGGGGGCCTGGAAGGGCGGGGTGTGTATTGGGACCTGCGCTCGCAGCTCCGCGACTTCAGCCCAGGCGAAGAGCATCGCCTGAACTCGGAGGTGCTGGTCGCCTCTGAGGTTGCTCGCAGCCTGACAGAGACAATTAACATCGTGGACTTGGAGAACGAAGTTGGCAACAAGGAGGGCAATGAGTTCGATTGCGCCAGGCGCTGCATCGCGCGCCACCGCGAGAACGGCATTCGGAAGAGTGATTTCTCAAGCCTCACCGTCACTTACTACAGGAAGTACGACATGCAGGGGAGGGAGTACGCGCACGGCCCGAGCGCACAGGGCCTCAAGACGGCACTCAAGAAGCACGCGTTCCGCTCACAGCGTGACATCGACGCTTCGTACGGTGACGTCTTCGAGAACTACGACATTGATTGTGTCAACGCGTTCATGCAGTTTCTGTGGAACGAGCTCAGCGACGTTGTGGGCGGCGGCACTGAGATCGAGTACGAGATGTTTACTGCGTATGTTCGTAACCCGCGTGGCTTCCGCAGTTTGCTGGCAAGCTACTTGGACATCACTGTCAAGGAGGCCAAGAAGCAGCTCATCAGCAACCTCCACTGTGGCGAGCCGATGGCTGAGCTGCCATTACTGTGGTCGCTCGCAGTCGAGCTTCGCACAGCGACCCGAGTGATCCTGGAGAAGCCGCGGTTCCATCACCTGAACTCGAAGTTCGCTGATCGGCGCTTCCCCATGGCGACTCGCCTGCATTGTGCCCTGAGCGCCATCGAGGACGAGCTCATCATGAACGTCCACCAGGCATTGACCCGCGAGTTCGGCGAGGGTGTCCAGGTTCTCGTTTACATGTTCGACGGTTTGATCGTTCGCTTCGGCTCGCTGGGCAACGATGGCAAGCTGCGCGACGTGCTGACCGAAGTCGGCGAGAAGGCCAACGTCAGCTTCACGTGTGAGAAGTTCTGA